AGTAAATAAAAGGTAACAGGGAGGCTGGGAAGAAATAAGTGTCTATATATAAATACAGAAATTGAACAGAGGGGGAAAAAAGCACCTTACTGAGATAGGATGACAATTTAAGATAGTCCTCCATAATAAGAATGCCTTCTTTACAGTTTTGAAGTAGTAAAGAAACATGCATAAATACCTGGCTTTAAAGTATTCAGCAAGACAAAGCTTTTTGTCGCTATTACAGCGAGATAGCAATCAGGTTCCTGGTCACAGAATATAACATTTTAAAATTCCAGGTAAATTCTCAGAGCCCATCCAACAAGCTCAGACATGCTAACATCACATAACAGAGCTGAGGGGTCTTCAACTCTTTTTTGCAGACAGTACTAAGTTTTAATTTGTATACAGAGGCAACTGCTTCGCTAACAAAATACAATACCTACATCTTAATATTTTGCTGCCTTTTTATAAAGTAGGCAGCTATTAAGACTATTGGCAACTTGAATCTTTTGATGAGGGCTACACTCAGACACACATACACTAGATGTACATTGGCCTACGTAACTACTTCCTCACAGACTTAAAAGTTAAGTTCATCAGTGATGTAGTCAGCTGTGCTTGTCAGGGTTAGCAACCAGAATGCACATGAGCATTCTAGAGAGTACCATAATGCAGGATATATTCCAATAAATTGTCAGGGTTCTAGAATCAACAGAAGTCTACTGAACTTACAAGATGACACCAAAAACAATAAAAACACAGCAATATATAGGACATTGTTTTTCATAAACATTTAGTTCTGCACACCCAATACAACAGTCTGTATGAGACAAAACAGAAAAGGAAAATCCAGTTTTTCCGAGTTGATAGCTTGGTTCCCTACACTGATGCTACATAGTGGTTGTGTTCATTTGTGACAGATCACACGCCAGTCCTTCTCCCCTCCCCATCTTCATCTAAAACTAGGATTCCAGCTGTGTCATTCTTCAACTCCATTCTCAAACTTGCTAGAGCCCAACAGCTGCCTTCCTACTCAGCCCTATCAAACCCAACCCGACACCTCTTCATCTTCAATACCTCAGTCAAGTACCCACCACTCTGCTCCCTTAAAATAGACAAAAAAAATACAGAACCATAAAGCAGCATTAATCTGATATTAAGCGCACACACAATGAGAGATACAACTGGAAGAATAGAAAGTACTTCCCTTTTGTAAGAGTGGAGGGATGTAAGAACAATACTAGAAACCTCTGAACCAAATGACAGACATCTTGGTAATTCATACAGCTACAAAAGCCACTGAGTAGATGTTCCCGTCTTCACCAACACTTCAGAAGCAATGGAACCTTCTCTCTCTCAATCCATACATATGATCAAGCACTATGGGAAGCATTTTATCTAACTGAACAAATCAGTGTTGTTTGAAGATAAAGACTGAAGTTATGTATTGGTAAAATTTTTCTTACCTATTCTATAAATTGAACTACTCAAAAAAAGCTTTCACCGAGGACTACATAGTCAGGAGATTAGAGGCAGTTGCAGGGACTGGTAAAATATCATAAGCCATGCACATTGTTATAGCAGAAAATTCTAATGGGCAGCACTTTCTAACACCAGTTTGTAATTCCATAAAATGCAATTACACCACAGGTATTAATGGCTTTAATTGAACCAATTATGCTCTAAGAGGTAAAAGACTAAAAATACATACTAAATTATACAAAGTCTTTAGTATAAATAACACTTGGGAGTTAACAAAATACTTGTGGGGAGACATATCACAGATGGTCAAACAATGTAGCACAGTGATATCCTACACAAACACTATCAACTTGGCGATTTTTGCTTGTTCGTTTGTTTTAAGTAGATTCTTGTTTAGAGTTCTGAACAGTGTGTATTTGGGTCAAGGCTGAATGTTTCACTATTTATACATCGATTTTCTCCTTCCCCAGAGAAAATGTTCCCTCCTCAACTCAGGGTCAAATTCAGACATTTGGAGAGAGGAAAAATTACGGATTTCTATTTTCCCCATGAACACCATTTGCAATAACATGCCCAGGCATGACAAAGTATTGAAAAGGGAATGTGACCAGAGGTCTCTTTCTTCCTAGTAGTCCCTCATTTAACTATGTCAGTCCATACTCCATAACTAGGTCCTACCATCACATCTTAGGCATTATATCTTCAGAGAAGCCCTTTGTTCCCATCAAAGCACTCATTCAGTGTTTCTCAAGGCTTTATGAAAAAGAGAGAAAACAGTCAGCTGCCTAAAGCGATAAGTTACACTTTAAGAGAGGTTAAAGGCAACAGTCCTTGAAAGCCAAAGGAAAATTTTCAAAACTTGAGGCAACATCATGATTCATTTCATCATGAATCTGGCAACTCTCAAGGTGAATCAGTATAATCATACTACTGCTGAACCCAGGCTGATGTGACTAAGGTCTGTTCATCCTTCAGCAATCCCCTTCCTCCAAGAAAAAGGAATAGCAAAACAAGGCTCAAAGATGTCATAAAGACATGGTCACCATCCTGAGGGTGAAGGAGCACAGCACAGGGCAGGAGAGGCAGATGTGAACCTCAGGAGGAGAGGCCTGCACTTCTCAAGGCATAGACAGGCAAGGACACACCATGGCCTCTGTATAAAGGCAGCTTCTTATTCCTGGCCTGTCTTCTCCTACGTCTGGCACACAGGTAGGGCCCCAGGGATGGGTTTCCTCAGATTAGGTATGAAAAAGCAGGAGGAGGCATGGGTTGCTGATATCTATCTATAATTTTAACTAAAGGGACAGGTGGGGGGAGTGCCTAAAGAAAAGAATAAGCCAGGCTGTATTCCAAAGTACAAAGGGGGAAAAAGATTAGAAGCAACAAAGTTGCAGCAAGGGAAGTTACAGTATTTAAAAAAAGAATTTTTCACAGTGAGTGTAGCCAAACACAGGGAGAGGCTGCCCAAGGAAGCACACCCCCGAGACACAGCACAAACCAACAAGGTCCTGAGCAATCCAATCCAACAACAGAAATGGCCTGGCTTTGGCTGTGAGAATAAACCATCACCACCAAGTTAGCTGTGCATTATACAATAGCCAGGCACACACAGCTATAAAGTTTTCCACTAACAATAACAGGCCATGCTAATACAGTGCTAGGGATAGAAGAGCAGAAAGACTCAAGCCTAAAGGGCAAGTCAGCAACTCGCTGATGTCACTGCCAAAAATAAACCCCAAGTCTTTTATTTTCCTCTCACTTCTACAGAAGAACTGTTACTGAGCAAGACAAAGGGAGGATGATTTCACATGTTTCTGCACAAGGCATAATACAAGGATCTTCACAGACAAGTGTTTAAAAAGCTTTGATTCTCAAGCATCCTTAATCCTCTGTCAGTCAGTCAACTCTTAACACCCAATTGCTCGACAGCACAGAGCATATTCCTGGTTGCTTCACCACAGCCTTTTCCTACACCATGTATGGTGTAGGAAACCAGACCCATGGAGTTACTTCACAACAGTCCCATACCACAGCGATGGGTCACACAACCAACAGTCAAACACATCAAGACCCTTCAGCCTGGAATAAAGAGCATGTAGCATCACACTGCTCAGGATTTCATGGACATTTTCACAGAGTTGTGCAGGGCTGTTCACCACCTCCCCCAGCACAGGAACTGGACGTAAATAAGAAAGTCTCACATACTGAAGGCCCCAAAGAACTGGCTCCTCACACAAGCATCAATTAGGCTGCAGAACTCCTTTCTCCTGGGCACTCTTGATGAAAGGCCTCCAGATAAAAAACACCCGAAGCTATTAAATACAGACTGAATCACAATTCATAGCACCTGGAATGAGCATTGCATAGAGACACCAGCAGGTATTTTCCTGTGCTTACAACTCCTTCTCCTTGGCACTCTCTACCATCCACAAGATGCACTGCTTGTTTGAGCTTAGAACGAGACATCTAATTTACCACAGGTTGCCACAAAAGTTTTCCCTAACGTTTTTAAACATTACACATTTCCACAATATTTCTATGGCAAGGGACCAGTTGGAAGTTCAGAAGCCAGAAAGTGACAAGATACAGACAGGACCAGTTCAGTGCTCAAGGTGTACAAACCTGAGAAGTACACAAACATTTTGCAAACTCACTCTGTTCAGTACAGCTACCCTATCCTCAGAAACACAAATATCATTATCCACAATCACTTAGATGGTAGGTACATTTGGGAAGCCCAACTGTTTTAATGAGTGGTTTTATTAAGAGCCAGACCTGTCCACTTATTAATTCCTGCACCCTGGCACCCCACTGAAAGAATTAGGTGTTTTACAACACTGCATGCATGACTAGAAGCTTGTCAGGAACCATTGTTTAAAACACTCAGTTGTTCTGCCATTAAGAGATTACTACATACACTGCAAGTCAGCCTAATAGTTTACTTAATCCTTAATCCCATTTTAACAAGATCTAGCCTTACCACTATTCAATACCAGAACCCCAGAGGACAGACACCTAGTAATGCTAAACCATGTAGAATACAGTAACAGAAAAAAAAAAACCCAGGGGGAGGGAATCAAATTCCTTCTTGCATCCCTTTCACACACACAGACTTTTCCACACTTCTGAGCTACAGGGCAGCATTACAATTATTTTGATTATCAGAGGACTGCTAGTGAAACAAGACATAAATGTGTGGCATAAAAGCTCCCAGTCACTCTGTTCACTCGGCCAGTGAGGCTACAGCAGCTTTTTCAGGCCTGCAGCCTGGCTGTGCAGGACACAGACCGCCTCTGCCCGAGCTGCTGCTGGCAGGCTTTCGCCCAGGCCCCGGTCAGAGGGTTGGTGTCACAATTCCCATCGAGAGGCACAAAAAAAGGGATACTCAGACCGACAACCCGGCACCAACCTAACGCATGCTCTGCTACTTCACCCACCGCAGGTCTGCCGAACAGCTGAGCTGGCGGTTCGGGGCTATCTCAAAACACACGCCTGCAGGAAAATTCTCCAGAAAGACGAGATTCAGGAGCAGTTTCTTTACAGATTACCACAGCTAGACTGAAAAACACCTTTATTAGCAACAGCGGCTCGGCACACCACCCTCGTGTACTGCCTGCATCCAGCTCTGGGTGCAATCCCCTCCCCAACACAGGAGGGGCATTGACCCGTTCCAGCAAGTCCAGAGGAGGCCACCAAGTTGATCAGAGTGATGGAGTATCTCTCCTATGAGGAAAGCCTGAATTAGGATTGTTCAGCCTGGGAAAGAGAAAGCTTCAGCATGACCTAATTGTGGCCTTCCAGTACCTGAAGAGAACTTCCAGGGAAGGTGGAGATGGACTATTTGCAAGAGTGTGTAATGACGGGACAAGGGGGAACAGTGTAATGACGGGACAAGGGGGAACAGATTCAAACTGAAAGAGAGCATGTTTTGATTAGACACTGGAAAAAAATTCTTTACTGTGAGAGCAGAGAGGCACTGGAACAGATTCCCCAGGGAAGCTACGGATGCCCCATGCCTGGAAACGTTCGAGGCCAGCCTGGATGTAAACTCTGAGCAACTCAGTCTTGGGGGGGTGGGG